TTACCAGGGCTGGCAGCAGTCACCAGGGACTCAAACTCTCAGCTTCACCCAGGTGTTATAACCTGTCTGTTTCTGTGTCAGCCCTCCCAATATGGTTTAGTCATAACTGTTGGATTGTAGAACCTCCCCAGGACTCAGGGCATTTCTCCAGTCGAATCACCTCAGCTGCTTATTAAACCTCCTGGTTCCTAGTACTTAATTCAGACCCTCTGACTTTCAGTCTAAGAGGTTTGGACCAGGAGCTTACAGCTTTAACCTCATAGGCAGCTTTGATGCCTAGCCAAGTTCTGGGCAGTGGTGGTGTCCAGAGGGCCATATGTGTCAGTGAGAGAGAGAAGAAATGAGAAAGAAGCCTGGGAGTCCCTGAGGTCTTGAGTGGGAAAAACCCAAGACTCCTCTAATGCACAGAGCAGTGATTCTATGCCTGCTGGATGGGTCTCTGCAGTTCAACTGGTATACCCGCCGTGCAGTGCTGGCTGGCATCTACAACACAACAGAGCTGGTCATGATGCAGGATTCTTCCCCGGACTTTGAAGATACTTGGCGTTTCCTGGAAAACCGGATTAATGATGCAATGAATATGGGGCATACAGCTAAGCAGGTAGTTGGAGACTGGCCATTTGGAAACCCTTTCAGTAGGCACGCCTGTCTGTCTCATGCCACATTTGGTCATTTGGCTGTTCTCTTGCTTCCTGTTGTTCTTAACTGACAGCCCCAGAGGCTGGCTGTTCTTCCTTATGCTGGACTTCCTTAGAAGTCTGCTTTGTCTCTCAGTGCCTTTGTTGTCTGTAGGCTCTTTTTCCAGTACATTCAACCATCTTGACCCCACTGTGAGGCTCATGGGCTCCCTGAATTGTCCTACCTGTTCCACCTTTGAGCTCACTCTGGGGGCTTAGCAGACTCTGACCCAGACCCCTCTTAGGTGAAGTCCACTGGAGAAGCGCTGGTGCAAGGCCTGATGGGTGCAGCAGTTACGGTAAGTGCTGCCGAGTTCACTACTGCCTGCCTCCTGTCCCACCCTGGTCCCATGCAGTTGGTAACATGTCACCAACCCAGATAGCTTTGCACTGCGAGCTGAATAAAGCTGATCTTGGTTTAGCCTCAGTAGCTTATTCTTAAATAAATGCCCCACCTTTTCTTTGCTGGCATCAGAAACACTTGCTAGAGCTGGGGAGGAGAGACAGTACATCCCTGTATTCCGTCACTCACTCATGCTAAGGCAGGAGGGTAAACAGTTCCAGGCCAGCTCGGCTACATGGCAGTCTTTCTCAAGACAAACAAACACAGCAACAACAGCAAAAACCAAAACCACTTCTGCCTCTGGGCCCCTAGTATGCTTGAATCTGTGTCATAGCTGTCCCTGTTGCCTCGAATAACCCAGGGTTTCCCGTTGTAGTCTTGGAGGTAAGGCAAGCCTCACCACTGTCTCTACTTGTGTCCCTGTGTTAGCTCAAGAACCTGACAGGTCTAAACCAGCGCCGGTGAGAGCAAAGGGGAACCCATTTACCTGGAAGGAGCAGCGGTAGACATGAAGGGCTTTGACAACATGAACCGTCCATTGAACAGCATGTTAATGAGAACACCGTGATGAAGAACTTGGAGTCACCATGACAGCCACGAGGCTGGAAATCACAATGAACTTGGTACTGTTCTGATCTTGAATTGGGCCACTTCTTCAGTCCCTAATATCAGGCCTGGCCTCCTGATGCCTTTCTGCACTGCAACCGTGTGATCGGAAAATGAGACTTACATCCAAGTTTTCAAGCCACAGGAACTTGGCATGGCTCCACCATGGTCTCACAGGCATCTTGATCATCATGTCTTGACCTTAAAACTGCTCTCTGAGAGAATACATGGTAACCTGTATTCTCAGCACTCAGGAGACTGCCACAGCAGGACTGAGAGTTCAAGGCCAGGATTGTCTATGTAGAGAATTACAAGCCTGTTTGAGCTACATAGTGTGACCCTGTCTCAAACAAAATCTCCAAAAATTCTTAGGAGCTCACAACCAAGGTCAGAAACCGCCACACAGTGGCAGCTCCTCCCCAGCACAGGACAGACCATGTGCTCACAGAGGTATGTGCCACTGGCCGTTGCTCCTCTGGGTCCCCTCAGAAAGCTGCCTCCCGTGAGGCAGGTACCTTCTGGACAGTCATGCTGAGCCTGGCCAGAAATGTGATCCCAGGCCTCGCATCATAGACACCAGCATGCATTGTAAGGTCACTAGTGTATTTAGAATCTGTAAAAAACAATAAATACGTTTGAAACAATTTCCTGTTGTACAGTTTCCATCTAGACAATGTTGAGTATCCTAGATCCCAGCAGTAGACAGTTGTATATGGAAGAGGCCTGAGTTAAGGCTTTGGCACCGCCTCATACCTACAGGGTCGCTATGCCAGTTCTGCATTCTGGGCCCAGGTATTCTGTCAGGCACATGAGGATAAGAACTCTTACCTCAGGCTGAGTTCCCTTGTCTCCGCTTAGTCTCTGACTATCTGAGGGCAGTCCTCAGCTTTCATGGTCCTCCAGCCCCTATGCTGGCTGGGCTTCCTTTGTACCCGTGGTGAGCATTGTCTTCTGTGCTACTCTCCTATTTAAATCGGATCTTGTCTTTGGACTTTCTGTCGGATTCCTTCTATACCTCTCTGACTTTTTTATGCGTCTTGCCATCCCATAAAGTTACTACTGTACTTATTACACTTTATCCTTTGTAGCATTCCTGTCACTCGGCAGACGAGTGTGATTCATAATTCACTGGGATGGTGTGTGCTTAGGAGCAGGCCCCCCTCTGTCAATGCCTTCCTCTATCTCAGGAAGAAATGTCACCCCTGTTACAGCAAACTCTTTATTCTCTGGTAACTTCTGCCCACTGAGTGTAGTTTCTTCAGGGTTCTGTTTAAGGGCCTCTTTTCTCTGTGTGAGCAGCTGCCACTTTTGAAGCCTGTTTAAACTCTTCAGGTGCAACTACACAGACCTGTAGACGTGGAGAGCTTTACTTCAGCTGTACTTTACTTCAGAAGTATATCGGACGACCAAGAGAAGAAAGGAAAGTGTCTCGTTCAACACATGGCCATTGTTGAAGTATACTTTGGGGACCTTTGAGGCAGCTGGGGGGGGGGGTGGCAGCTGGGGGGGGTGGGGATGGGGGTAAGAGCACTTGCAGTCAAGCCTGACATCCTAAGTTCAGTCTCAGGGACTTACATGGTAGAAGGAGAGAATTGATTCCCGCATTGTTCTTTGACTTCCACACACATGTGTTTACACCATTGTGTACATACACTTATTTTGTTTGTCGTGTGTGTTACAGCACTTAGGGGTGTGTGTGTGTGTGTGTGTGTGTGTGTTAGCACTCTTGCTGAAGTTAGCTTAGGTGTGGGTCTTTTGTTGTTTGTGTTGTGGTACATTATCTAACTGGCCTTAGAACTTCCTTTGTGAGTGATCTAACTGGCTGAGAACTCCCAGGGGAACACTAAGATTATAGAGCTGCATTGCCATGCCCTGCTTTACAAGAGATCTGAGGATTTGAACTTGGGTCCTCATTTTCGAATATAAATCATCTTAACATACTTGAGTCACTTTCCTCAGCCCTCTTGTTTATCTGTAGATGCACAACCTCATTCTTCTAAAAGGTTTCATTGTATTCCGTGTTTTTAAATTATTTTTATAGTTTTCACTTTTAAAATGATAATATCACACCATTTCCCTTTTCCCTCCCTTCCCTCCTGCCCCTTCCATATACCTCTCAAATCAATATCCTGTTTTTTGTTAATTATTGTTACACTTCCCTAATAAATGAATACAACTTGTTCAGTCCTTGTAACGTCACCTGTATTTATATGATCTTGGGGCTTTTGATTTTGTATTGGATAACCCATGGCAGGGCTCTTTTTTGAGGAAAGTTATTTCCCCCACTTTCATCATCCCCCAGTTCTTTGTGTAGGGTTGAGATCCCTCTTCCTTCCATGTTAACATGTCCATTGGTGTCATTGTTCAAGTCTCATTTAGGCAGTCATGTTGGTGAGACTTGATGTTTGTAACAATTCTAGGAGACATAATCTCACAGCAAACTTAACCTTCCTCTGGCTTTTACAGATTCCGCTCCCTCATCCACAATGATCCCTGAGCCTTGGGTACTGAATTAGTTGTGGATATATCAGAGACAATCTCTTGTTCTCTGCATTTTCATTGGTTGTGGTATTTTGTTGTTCTTGATGTTTTGTTTTTGTAATGGTCTCCTCCATCTTTTACAAAGAGAAGTTTCTTTCATGAGAGGTGAGAACTATATGTATCTTCACACTGCTCCCCTGAGAATCTTTAGAGCCCTGATCCTTCTTCCAGAAACTAGCAGATGTCCCCTCAAACAAATGTGTCAAATTGCCATCTCTCTTTCACATTAGTAAGGGAAGCCCTCACACACTGGTCAAATGTCTCCTTGCGTCATATAGTTTCAGAGCTTACTTCATTATCATCATGGCAGGGAGCATGGCAGCATGAATGGAGCTGGAGAAGTGGCTGAGAGCTTTACATCCAGATCCAAGGACAGCAGCCAGAGAGTATTTTTTAAATTATTTATGTATACGGGTGTTTTGCTTGCCTGTATGTCTGTGCACCGTGTGCCTACCTCGTGCCCTCAGAGGGTATCAGAGCCCCAGAAATTGGAGTTAAAAGACATAAGCCGTCATTCGGGTGCTGGGAATCCAATCCAAATCTTAGGGAAAGGCAGCAGGTGTTCTTATCCATTGAGCCATCTCTCCAGCCCCATATGTATGTTTAACCAAGTCTCCATCGATCGTTACCTAATGAGTTATTTTTAGCAATTACAAGTAACACGGGTATGAATAACCCTGTACATGTCCCTTTGACCTTTGTGCTATATCTCGGGGATTCCAGGAGTGTAGGGAGGGCCTGGTGCATTTTGGGGGCTGTGGTTAGAAAACGCAGGCCAGGAGAGTTCCGGCCTCCGGTCAGCAGGTGGCACTGCGCGCACGTCTAGCCGGAAGCGCCGGAGACCCCGCCGACAAATTGCTGGTGGCGGCGCAGGCGCGCTGCGGGACTGGCGCGGGAACCTGGCTGCGGGTCGCAATGCCGTACGCCAACCAGCCTACCGTGAGGATCACGGAACTGACCGAAGAGAATGTCAAGTTCATTATCGAGAACACGGACCTGGCGTAAGGCGGCGGGGAAGAGGCGGGCGGTCGGGTTCTCGGGCTCCCCTCTGCGGGGCTGTGGCTTCGGGGCGCTCACACGGTCTGGCTTTCCTCCTGTAGGGTGGCCAATTCCATTCGGAGGGTCTTCATCGCCGAGGTGCCCATAATAGGTATGCGACCCTCAGGTGGGCTGAGAGCGCTGCGGTGCTGCACACTGGGCTGGGGCGGCCTGGGCCAGCCTTGCTCGGCGGTGTGGATTCCAGCACAATTCTGACTACCCGAAAGCAACAGATAAATTAACACTAAAGACTACCAAACAGCTGAGAGCTGCGGCCTCCTCATTCGAAGAGTGTAGACGCTAGGAGTCGTTAGCAGATGATAACCCGAGGTTAACTAAGTCCTGTAGACGCTCCTTTGCTTTTAAGTCAGTGTTGGATACTAGTGGGTGTCTTTTGAAAATGTATGTTAATTGTACAAAATAATGGGCTTCGTTATGGCATTTCCACGCACGACCCCCCCCCCACACACACACAGTACTTGAATTGTAATCATTTCCCCATCCCTTCCTTTTATTCCCCTCCCACTGTTATCTCCTGTCCTTCCTGTTAGTACCCTGCAATACTTTCTTGTCTCTACCTCTCTCTTCTTTAAAACATTATATTTAACTGCGTATGTATGCATGTCCCTAGTGCAGGGGCGCCACGGTGCATGTGGGAGGGGTTCTCTTCTTCCATGTGGGTCCCAGGGATTCAACTCAAGTCTCAACAAATTAGTGCCTTTACCCTGCTGAACACTTTTTTTTTTAAAGACTTACTTATTATGTAAACAGTGTTCTTTCTTCATGCCATAAGAGGGCACCAGATCTCATTATAGATGGTTGTGAGCCACCATATGTTTGCTTGCTAGGAGTTGAACTCAGGATCTCTGGAAGAAGAGCCAGTACTCTTAACCTCTGAGCCATCTCTCCAGCCTGAACTCACCCTTCTTAAAAGTTGAGATTCCACATGAGAGAAAGCATAAAGCATGTTTGTTCTTATGACTTCCTTCTGCAAATGACATACTTTTGTTCTTTATGGTTGAATAATAAGTGTGTGTGTGTGTGTGTCCGTAAGTAAGTAAGAGAGAGATCACATTTTCTTTATCCATTCTGGTAGGTCTCTCTCTCTCTCTTTTTTTTTTTTTTTTTTTTTTTAATGGATCTCTTACTGTGTAAATCATGTAAGTTCCAAGCTAGATGTAGATAAGACATGGACATACACCAGGCAAAATATGGCAGGTGTCTTTAGGGGTCTCAACAGTTTTTTGTTTGTTTTTGTTTTTGAGAGAGAAGAAGGAGCTCAGAAAGATGGAGTGACACACAGGGTTTTTAGAGGCTGGGAGTTTTCACCTGCTAGGGTGTTGGGGGTGGGTGGGGAGGTAGAGTAAGGGCATGAGAAAGCTTGGACGTGGTCCTTGCTTGGTTGAGAAAGTCCTGCAGGGCAGAGCAGATTGGGTCCTCTGACCTCTTTTCCCTGTGTCAATGCCAGTTATTTGAGAATTGGGCTCTTAACAGCATTTGGTTTCTGAATTTCATTATCTACGTGCAGGTATTTGCTTGTGAATGACTAGGTACTTGTTTAAGTGAAGCCTCTGTAAGTACATAGGCCTATACTGTCAACAATGGACTGTAAGGTTTTTCCACCCACCGCCTGGTCTTGTCCCTCCACCATGCCAGCCCCAATTAACACACTGAGACTCTGTATTTGATATTATACTGTTGTCCAGTTACTTGTTTCTTATCAGCTAGCTCTGTCTTAAGTATTAACCCATTTCTGCTGATCTATGTATTTCTCTTACTGGCTGGCATTCTGCTTTTTCCAGACTCTCCATCTTGACTCCTCCTTCCTACTTCCTCTTTCCTCCTTGTCTCCTAGTCCCACCTATCTTGCTTTCCTATTGGCCAACAGTGCTTTATTCATTAACCAGTATGAGAAACATATACAGAATGACATCTCCCATCAATGGACTGGGAGGGATTGGGTTTTATTGTTAGTATTCTTTCTCTATTGAAGGAGTAACTGACTGATGGGAGTAACACTGAAATTCTAAGTAGGTGATCTGGTTATTTCATAAAGTGAGATGTGGACAATAGCAGTGTTCTATGTTTTCCCTAACTTAAAATTTTTAAATTATTTGTAATTATGTTTCTGTGAGGGGGTATGTGCAGGTGAAGGCAGATGCTAGAGGAGACTAGGGGTCTTAGATCCCCCTGGAGCTGGAGTTCCAGGCAGTTATGAGCCACCTCTCATGGCTACTGGGAACCTCTTAACCACTGAGCCATCCCTCCAACCCATGTTTTCCCCAACTTCTAACTGCCAAATAGCTTTTATTCTTGGATATGGTATTAACGCAGATAGCAGATTTAAAGTGCTGTTTAGGGAAATATTCAACTCCCTAAATATTCCACTCCCAAAATACTCTCTAAGTGAGCATTTCTTTTTATGGTACCAGCGAGCCATATCCAGTTCGCTGGAAGCAGGAAGGAAGGTGTTAGGTATGGTGTATGTGTGGTTTGTTTAAATTGGATGCCTGAACCTCGAGCTAGCACTTTGGAGACAGTCTGTGGCCGCCTGGCCTGGGTACCTTCAACTCTGTGAAAACAGTGATTCTTTTCTTTCTTTTGTGAGTTTTTTGGTTTGTTTACTTGGTTGGTTGGTTTTGTTTTTTGATGGGTTTTTTTTTTTTTTGTTTGTTTGTTTGCTTGCTTGCTTGCTTGCTTGGTTGGTTGGTTTTGTGTTTTTCAAGACAAGGTTTCTCTGTGGCTGTCCAGGACTCAGAGATCTGCCTGGCTTTGCCTTCTGAGTGCTGAGCAGTGGGTGATACTGAAGTCTTGAAAGCAGTACTGTATATCTGGAGATGCTGGAGGATGTCAGATTCTCAGATGGTGGTTGGTCTCACTTGTGCTGTTTTGTTGCCTTTTCCAGCCATCGACTGGGTTCAGATTGATGCCAATTCCTCAGTCCTTCACGACGAATTCATTGCCCACAGGCTGGGTGAGTTTGGGCAGGGCATTGAGAAGTAGAAGGAATTAAAGTGGGGTGTCCCCAGCCCAAGGGACTGACTTGTATGTTCTTGTGATGACTTTTCTGTGTCTTGCAGGATTGATCCCCCTCACTAGTGATGACATTGTTGACAAGCTGCAGTACTCCCGGGTATGTGTGTTGATGAGTAGATTGGGGGCACAGGGAGTGGGGTGGGGCTGGGGGGGTTGACTAGTTCTCCCAGCAATCTTCCTTCCTTCTGGCTGACTGTAGCATCTCATCAGTGAGCCCTCACAGAAGGGGACACACATCCTGGAATGTCCATAATTCTCTTTTTAAAGATAGTTTTTTCACTTTTATGTGTGTATATGTTTGTGTCTACGTATGTGTGTGCAGATGGGTTAGGGTGCTGGAAAAGGTCAAAAGAGGCTAGAGTTACAGGCATTTGTGAGCTGCTGGATGTAGATTCTGGGAACTGAACTCGGGTCCTCTCAAGAGCAGCAAGTGCTCTTAACAGCTGGACCATCTCTCCAGTCCTCCTCCCCCAAACACACACATTTATTCTTTTTGTTTTTGTTTATTTTTTTAAGACAGGGTCTCAAATGTAGCCCTGGCTGGCCTTGAACTCCCAGAGATCCGACTGCTTTGCTTCCTGAGTGCTGGGATTAAAGGCATGTGCTACCATTCCTGGCTGAGAAACATTAATAAAATGCCCACTTATTTTTTTTTCTCTATAGTTACCAAATGCTAATAATGTTTTACTGCAGTTACCTTATTTTTTTATATGGTGTTATTTCCCCCTAACTTTTTAGAAAATAAGTTACAAGCATCCTGATCCTTCTTCTTTAAATATTTGAGCACATGCCAGTGTATCCTGTATGATTGTACCCCACTATTTAGGAGGCTGCTTAGTGAGGTATACCCTATCTCCGAATGTACAAAACACCCCAAAGCATGGCAAATGTTGATAATTAAGAAACTGGAAGGTGAGTATAATAACTGGCAGTCAGTCGTCTTTGTTTTTGTATATGGGTGAAATTTTCCTTAAGAGGTCTTGAAGTAAAGATTAGCTGAATGCCTGTATAATCCTAGCACTTCGGAAGTACTAACAGTGGGATCTGTAGTTTAAGGTTCATCTTCAGCTACATAGTGAATTCTGGGCCACGTGAGGGCTCCCCATCCCAGGTAATCTAGAACTTAAAATGTCCTGCTGCACTGCCCCCCTTCCCTTCCCTTGCTTGTTGTGTTTTCAGTAATTCCCAAGCTGGTCCTGTGTAGCACTCCCTAACTACCTTGGTCCTCTGTGGCAGTGTGCCCCCTAGTGGTAGCCTGCAGCACTGGACGTGGAAAGGAAGTGTAGTTGTCAGTAAGTAGACTGACTATAAGCTTGAGCAACCATGAGGATGGTCTACCGATGTCACAGCCCAGAAGAGGCCTGGGACTGTAGTCAGCCCCTTTTTTGCCAAGAAACTGAAAGGATCTGGTCAGTACAACCCGGGAGTCCGGTCTATTCATTCCTGCTGCCCTTCCTGCCTCAGGACTGCACATGTGAAGAGTTCTGCCCTGAGTGTTCTGTGGAATTCACTCTTGACGTGAGGTGCAATGAAGACCAGACTCGCCATGTTACCTCTCGAGATCTCATCTCCAACAGCCCCCGGGTTATTCCTGTGAGTGCCTTTGCTCTTCTCTGTCTGGCTCCAAGTGGATCATTATGAGATGTGGTCATAAAGTCACCTGCCCAGTGACCATCTACTTTAACTTCCACCTAGAAATGCTGGTCCTGAGTGCTTGAACAGAGCTGTATTAGTGCTATATGTCCTGTGTTGTCCAAAGACCCTCTTAAAGGCCATCGGGCTGTTTGGACAACTCTGCCACCTCTTTCCCTAGCTTGACAGATTACAGCCTGGATTTACCGGGAGACAGTTGCCAGAGGGGACTGAGGTGAGAGACTAATGCATACTTGTTTGGGCTTCCTACAGGTGACATCCCGGAACCGGGATAACGACCCCAATGACTATGTGGAGCAGGATGGTAAGAGGATGGGGCAGGGTGGTAAGGGGGTGGGGCGAACATGCTGGTGGCCAGAGGATGCAGAGACCAGATGTGCCCTCTTGAGCTGCCTGGTCTCTGTTGCTCATCTTTAGACCATTTTGCCCAGATGTGGGCTGCCTTCATGCAGTCCTGGAGGTCAGAAGCTGGAGAACTGGCCGCTTTTGGTTCCTGGCTCACTCTCACCTCTCCCTGCAGACATCCTTATTGTCAAGCTGAGGAAGGGCCAGGAGCTTAGACTTCGAGCCTATGCCAAGAAGGGCTTTGGCAAGGAACATGCCAAGTGGAACCCCACTGCAGGGGTAGCTTTTGAATATGATCCAGACAACGCACTTAGGCACACGGTGTATCCCAAGCCTGAGGAATGGTATGCTCTGTGGGGGAAGGGATACTATCCCTGACTGTAACGGGGGGGGGGTAGGTAGATGCTCCAAGAGCCTTGCTAAAAGCAGAAGTAGCCACTTGTGCTTCACCCATGTTTGCCCTCAGGCCAAAGAGTGAGTACTCCGAGCTGGATGAGGACGAGTCACAGGCTCCCTATGACCCCAACGGCAAGCCAGAGAGGTAAGACCCCAGTTAGTCCTGCTTGGGACTATAACTGTAAGAATATAGGTGTGGGAAGTGGCTAGGCAGTCACATATCCAGTGCCCCTACATGCTTTCTCCCATGTGACGGCAGAACTAACTGTCAAATTCATATATACATTCTGAGTTGGTCTTCATCCCTCTGTGGTCACCATGAAGAAAGGAGCCTTATTATTGCCTTATGCTGTTTCTGGCCTGCCTGTTGAGGCTCAAGCCAGAGCAGAGCTGCCCATGTGTAGCCCTATCCTGAAGAACTGAAGAGCTGTAGCCAGTGATAAATGTATGATTTCTTTTTTCTTTTCCTGCTGTCTCTGGTGTAGAATTGCACATACACAGTCATTTTAGAGGCCTTCAACAATGTCCTCTTTTGGGGGGAAGGGTTTCAAGACAGGGTTTCTCTGGGTAACAACCCTGGCTATCATTTAACTCGCTCTGTAGACCGACCAGGCTAACCTCGAACTCACAGAGATCTGCCTGTCTCTGCCTCCCAAATGCTGGGATTAAAGGTGTGTGCTACCACCACTCAAAATATCCTTTTGAAGTAGCTTTAGCTTCTTTGAGGAACTGCAAAGTGGATCTGGACCACTGCATAAGATACTTTAGGTAAAGGGAAGTCAGCCCTGTCCCAACATAAGTGAGTGCCTCATAGGAATGAAATCAAGTCTCCAGGGATAGAAGGGAAGCCTGCCTTGAGATGGCTCTCACCCTACTCTTGTCTCTCAGGTTTTACTACAATGTGGAGTCCTGTGGCTCACTGCGCCCTGAAACCATTGTCCTCTCAGCCCTGTCTGGGTTAAAGAAGAAGCTGAGTGATTTACAGACTCAGTTAAGCCATGAGATCCAGAGTGACGTGCTCACTATAAACTAGCCACGGTTCACCCTGTGCAGAAGACTAGGTTCAAGGTCTTCAGGTCTTGGGAACGAACCCTTCTGGTTTCTGGGCTCTGGACTGCAGCTGCTCAAAACTGCTAGAAGGTCACTGGAGAGATTGCCAGGGGTTCTACTGGTGTTAGACAGGGCAGTTTTTCACTGGGCATTTAGCATTCTGGGCCCTACCTTGTTGATCACTGTGGTATGCTTTAGAACGCCAGGCACCCCTTCCATCCTGTTTCCTGTCTTACTTGTAAGGAGCCTTACTGCTTGCTGTTTGAGAGCCACTGACCTAGAATTTCTGGTCACTCCAGCTTTTTAAATCTCTACCCAAGGAAAGGCATTTTCACAGCTGTATCTTAGGCTTCTTATGTTGGGACTGAGTATTAAGACTTTCACTGAAGCGGCCTGTGACCTTTCAAGTTCTTCCCAGGGTCAGGGCCAACTACTGGCACTTGAAGTTTCAGGTGTCCCTAAGCTGAGATGTCACCCTTTAGGACTAGTATCAGACCCTTGCTATCCTCTGTCCACAGGTAAACTTGCTGTTTTATCATCTGGCCTGACCTGCCCTGGGGTGGGGTGGGTAGGGGGTGGGGGGGTAGGGGGTGGGTGACAGACCACACACTGCCACAGACCCCTCCTACATTTCCTTTCTCTTTAGTGATGTTCAGGCCCTGCCCTTAGTATGTCTCCAGGTAGAAACAGACCTGCCCATAGTGGTTTTCAGGCAGCCTGGGGAAAAGCACACACCAGCACAGAAAGGAAGGGGTATTTATTGATCAACAGTAGTTGTCTTTTTACAAGTTTTTATTTTTGGCAATAAAGAGCACAACATAATCTCCTTCATGCGTCATCGTGCTTCTAACTGAGCCAGCTCTGCCTCCCTCCCGAGGACTGGGCCCATTTCTTTTACAGACTAGCTAACCCCTGGGTGGTCATTGCCTAAGTCACAGTCAGAGCTGGGCTGGCTGAGCTACCTCCCTGGCTCTGGAGCCCCTCTGGGAGAGGGCCTCCTTATTATCCTGCCACAAATGTCAACAGTGATTATTTACAAGGTCTGTTCCCACAAATCAGAACCCTAAAGTATTAAAAAACAGAAACACAAAAAAAAAGTTTGATGTAAATAGAAAGATAGCCCTTCTGCACGGTAGTCAATAAATACCAGCACTAGAAAATCAATTGCTTTAATTGCATTTCAGCAGGGAGCCTCAGCACCTTGTGGAGAGATGGGAAGGTCTTGGTTTTAGAATCTGGCCTGGGGTGGCTAGCCCAGGGCAAGGGACTTCTGTTACTGAAGCACTGTACCCCCTGCTCAGTAAAAGGGCACGGCAAGGTGCTCCCCACAGCAATCCTGCTGCAGCCTTTCAGGCTGGCCCAGCCATCCTCTACTGTTGAGGTAATGGGCGCCCCGCCCGAAGACATCTTCAGCCTACTGAGCAGAAAGGAGCCAGTGCAGAAAGTGCATTTTAAAACCAGATGCCACCTCTGCTTAAAACTCCTTAGGGGCAAGGCTGCCGCATGGTACAGTGAAGCTTGGGTCCTTCCTGTGTCACTGTTGGCCCAAAGGACAGAAGCTACCTGCTTTTTTGGCCCTTAGACTTCTGAGAAGAGCCCACAGACAGCACCAGGCTGATTGTCCTCCTCTGACCCTGGCAGCTCACACAGTCTTGGCAGTTGTGTCACTGAGGACAGGAACTGCTGCCCTCTTACTCAGAAACAGCCTTGACCATGCCTGGTCATGGAATTAAAAATGGTATGCGTTGGGGAGGGATAAAGGGAAAGCCTCATTAATACAGAATATGTCATAAGCCATATATATTAAAACCATCAACAGTATATAGTCCCACGGTGGCACCAGCCCCTCATGCTCAGGTGGTGTGGCCAGCCATGTGCTGAGGTCCAGCCTCACCCTTGAGGGCAAGGAGGGACAGCTTGCTCTCTTCAGGCTTATGGCCAACAGCTCCTTAAGGCTGTCCATGGGCTGCTGCAGTTAGCCTTCCAATAGGCAGCCTAGCAGTCATCTGCACCCACCAGTCCAGCTGTCACTGGGAAGGGGTCTTGGTCTCACCGCTGTCCTCCTGGCTGGGCTGTGGCTTAAGCAGGATGAATCTGTTCAGGAGGTCTGTTTCTGAGCTGGCCTGGGCTGCCCCATACCCTTCACCTGTGGACAGAGATGCAGGCTCAGAATTTGAATCCAGGACCAAAGACCCTTGCCCAGGAGGCCTTCACAGGGATAGGACATGGCGACTCACCATAGCTGGAAGCTTCGGCAATGTTCTGAGACCCCGTGATATGGTGCCAGTATGCACTGCGGGGCAGCATCGTGGTGGGTGTGCAGGGATAGGAGTAGTGTTCGGTGCCCTTGTTCAGCAGCTGTGGCACAGAGAAGGGGTCCCTAGTGTTGGTTCTGGAGACACTGCTGCTAGCCCAAGGTCGTGCCTTGACTCACCAGTGAACATGCTGGTGGAGACTTAGCTGCCACGTCTGCCCCACCTCCCAGTGCCCGGGAGCAACAGCCACTGCCTCACCCTCACGTTCTTCTCCATTTCCAGCAGGACCCGCTTGTGTTGCTCAGCGATTGCCAGGGTGGCGCTATGAACCCGCTGGTAAATCTGCTCCCCCTCCTGTGTCTGAAAGGTGTAGAGTCCTTCCCCAGCATCGCACATCCTAAGGACACAGGTAGCAAGGAGGGCAAGGTTTCAGAAGCTCCACCGTGTGGGTGTACAAGTTCTGTATGCCAGATGTGGTGGTACCAAGGCCTTCAGGGACAGGGTGGCCATAGTCTGAGGGCTTGGCCACAGTGCACCCCGGTGGAGGTATGAAAGCTTCGCACAAGATAACCGAGGCAGCTTTTCTACCTCTGGTCTGCACACTGAACAGTCAGTTTCCTCACACATTTTACAGAAGAGGAAACTAAAGCATCCAGTGCGAGTATCTCAGCCAAGGTTACACAGAGGGTGGCCAGAGCTGAAGTCTAAGCAGGCTAGTTGAGTCCCAGCAAGGGCCTTCCTTATCAGGCTGGGTGCTTTTTAAATCCCCTATAGGAAACTGGCACTGAGGATATGATCACAAAGGCAGCAGTGGCTGAGCCAGGGAGCTGTGTTTCACTCTACCTGCCTGTTATAAGCTAATTACTTCTTTGGGCTGAAGTTCCTCGTCTGCAAAACTGAAGCATTATGTCCCCCTTGGGTTGCAATGCTGGTGAGTGAGTATTCCTGATGCCATGCCTAGAGCAGTCTCCATAGTGGCCGTGTGGGATAGGATGGGAGGAAAGAGGGTACTACCTGCCCGCCTCAAAGGTAAAGCGTGTGGCATCTCGGCCATAACGGCGCAAGGAGCAGAGAGGCCACGAGACGAGCTTCACGCGGGGATTATGTATGTCCCAGAGGTAGATGTTCTCGTGGGTGATCTGCAGCTTGCACTCGCCATACACGTCCAGGTTGGGGCAGGGCAACAGGAAGACATTGAAGCGATCTGTAGCAGCAGGGGATGACAGCAGGGTTAACTGAGAGCTCCACCTTTTCCCTCCCCACCTTGAGACCCAGCACCAACCTCACCTGTCTGCTCACACTGTACTCCTGGGGCCAGGAGGTCGGGCTCTCCCAGACTGATGTCATTGAGCCGTGACCCTAGACATTCCACTGACAGTGTCTTGTACCACTCCTCTGCCTCCAGCTCTAGAAAGAAATTGTACTTTATAGTTCTACCGACCCCAAGTCCCCAACAGCCCACCCACCCAGCGTGCCTTGGCTTAAGTTATTGCATCTTGCAGGGAAGGCGAGGCTTTACTGCTTGCCTGTCCACCTCAGTCTGGGGACCTATTCCACCAGGGACACACCTCTCCCACCCTTCCTAACAGGGTTGGCCCTGTTCTGTTACCCCACTGCCTAGACTGCTGTCACCCACCCGAGGAGACCAGTTGGAGCCTGCAGCCCTGGAGCCTCACCTGAATCACAGGTGAAAGTACGAGCCGAGTCGTCTGTGAATATGATAGCCACTGCCTGCCTCTTGGTTTCCTTGGGGAGTCGTGTGACACACTTGACATTGCTGATCTCAGTCACCTGGGAGGACATTCCGAGAGGCTTAGCCTGGCTGGGGCACTTTCCCCTGCCTCCCATAGCTATGCCCCCCAGGAAGGTACTCTCAGACCTCAGGACTCAGCAAGTCATCTTTGCTCACAGGTGGGGGGAGCTAGGGCCCAGGCCCCTAACCTTGGGGCAGCCTCGGAGGCACACTGATTTCTCATCGGGATATTTCTCCAGCCGCTGGGGCCCCTTGCTGGAAGATTTCCGAAACACCAGCCAGCACCTCCGGTAGATCTGTGGATCAAGAACAGAAGTCAGGTTGCTGCTGGACCTCTGAAGTTACCCAGCCTCCTAGGGGCGCAGTACATCCTCCCTTGGAGCCTAGCCTTGAGAAAGACTGAGGATGGTAACTGCCCTACAGCAGTCCAGAGGGGACAGCCCTCCCCAAATGGCCAAGACGGGTGTTCGTGATCATCTCTGTTCTATGATCCACTGTGTGCTGAACGTGACTGGTGTAATAGAAGGAACATTTGTGGAGTGCTTCCTAGACAGTCAGTGTCAGGGTCTGAGGCCACTGCTAGTGCTGCCTCTATTTCAGAGACAAGTGGGCCATGGAAAAGGCAAGGAGGAAGGACCTAACAAGTGATGGAGCTCCTGTTAAGACGGAGACACACCCATCACCACAGGACAGACGGATCTCCCAGGGACAGGAAGCAGACCCTTGCACTCAGCCAGCTTTGCATCACCATGGCTCTGTTCTTGAGCCCGGGGAAGGCTCTGGTGTAAGGGGTATCACTCTTGACCCCGGGCTTTCCCTCACCAACAGTGTATCACAGGGGTTCCCATGGAACCAAAGGCCTACAGAGGGTAAGAGGGCAGAGCTTAGAACCAGCTGTGCCCACACAGCACAGTCCCTTCCCTTGACAGTCTCTTGCCTGTCCCAACCACTAATGCCCTGTGCTCTAGGCCACTCAGATTTCTCCAGAAACAAGCAGGCCTATCAGACACCAAGAAAGGTGGTCCTAGCATCTCCATAAACTGCCCATCTGACCTCTTCTTGCAAGGTCTATCTCACCTATTGGCTTTCTTTAGCCAGTCTGTGATGGATTTACCAGCTCCTGCCAACACAAGTCTGGCAGGCCTACTCCCCAGACATCCCTGTGCCACT